GTACAAGTACCTGTATGACCCTATTAATGTGCTAAACGGTTGCACCAGTGAACAAATTAACATTTTCTGTTTCTTAACAGATTGATTGCAGTGTTTGCTGTTGTCAGTTTAATAAGCAATTTGGAGAGCCCATCAGTGGGTTCTATCTTGTTACAGTACATTCAGAATAAGGACACATAAATTTGTTTTAAATTAAGAAAATTTACATTTTATGTTCATACTCATATATTGGTGTCTCCTGGATGGACCAACTTGTTACATGTATGTAAAATATTGTTGTTTCTTTTAACTATTTGTAAATACTTTTGCTGCACTCCAGTTCATGTTAAGATAATATTTTGCTGTGACAAGGTTAAAAATGAGTATTTATTTATGTAGTTCTCATATATCATGTTTTGTTTTTTTTTTAAGTTTAAAATGTGAAACATTTTAACAACATTTCAAAACAAGCTTGTTTGGTTGAATGTTGTAGTCAAACACATTTTTGAGGACAATGCATTTTGTACATCTTGGTTGAATTGTGTAGCTAATCACATTTTCAAGGATTGTTCATGCATTTTTGTACAGCTACAGATAAGAAAAGTGCTAGTGCCTAATGACAGTTCAAACAGAAAGCTAACATAATTTGATTACAAGGACCTCTTGTATACTCCTTATTACATTGATCATTAACAGAAGTTCTATCATTTGGATGCTTCTTATGTACAATGATCATTACATGACTTTCAAACATATAGCTGATGTTCTTAATTCTGTCTGATTTAGCATAGCATAGCGTTTTTTTCTATGGATTGTTAATTGATATTTCCTTCACTAATTAACCATAAGATAAGAACATCAGACTTTTATAAGAATCAATATCATTTTATGTAATAGTATTTATTGAGAATGTTTGAAAATTATTATATACATATTGGATAATTGTTATTATTATAAATACATAAAATAACTGCAGTTTTGTTAAATTTCAAAACTAAAATTGATGACGGATTTTACTGACTTGTTCATCATTGCAGAGTGATTTTCATAAATAAGCTTTTTGGGATACAGTTGCGCTTTTCTGGGTTCAGTATAAAGGAAAATAATATAACATAAGGAGATGTTTAAAGAAAGGAAGTTTATTTAAAATTTTAGTAGAGAAACTTTTAAAGAGGAAAAAGAAAGAATTGAACAAATGAATGAAAATAAATGTTGACTTGTGTTGCATTCTGTTTTCATTGAAAGATAATAATTAATGTCAAAATGTTAATATGTATTTTGACAATGCACTTTTTTAACAAGTAAATGGCTTCTGTTTTGAACTAAGTCTTGAAGATTATTTGAATATTTTTTTCAATTCAATTGAATTTTTTTGCCCACAAAGATTTGATATAATCCAAATAATTAGTCGGATTCCGTGGTGATTTTTTTTCGCTTTTATCCTACCACACTCAGCAATTAAATGGAAAGAAAATGATAGTATTTTGGTTCTATAAATAGAGAAATGTTGTATATCAATAATGCAATAAACAATGAATCCTATAATTTTTTCTTTAAATGTCATAACAACTTCCTTAATTAGGATAAGGAAATGTAAGACTTAAAAAATGAAGTCAAATTTAATTTGTCGGTGATTTCCACTTTTGATATATTAATCAGCTAATTAGATAGTGTTCTATATAGTGCCAAGACATTAATTCCATTCCACAGAAACTAATCTACTGATCGAATAAAACACAACATGACCTGGAAATGGTCAATTTGAAGTCTGGTATATGATTATTAGTAAGTAGTGCAATCTTTCATGTTAAAAGGGAATAGTTGAGATAATGTTTATATTTCTGCAAGATTTCAGGAAACATGTAAAATTTTTAATTAACTTGTGTTTATTTTTTTGGCACTTGTAGTAAATATTTGAAGCACAAGTTCAGACCATCATCACAGGTATGAATTCTGTTTGAAGTTTCATTTCCCTAAAATTTTACACAGAAGGTTTTGTTGGAAGTGGATTCAGTATAAAGGGTTTAAGTTTCAAACAGAACATTTTATGATGCTGGCAGATTGATTTAAAGTCTGAAAAAAAATTTGTGTAGTTGACTTTATTGTATTTTATATGTATTTCAATGATAGAATGTTGTAGGTGGTTATAACAAAAAATTATTAATGGCAGGAATTTGTTTTGCTAAAAATTGAAATTTATCATTTTTGAACCATTATTTGATAGAAGATTGTAAATCTTCAGCATCTATGTTATGATGTAAAACTTTTCAATTGGAAGATATCATTTAAATAACAAAACAGTATATATAATATGTATACATGCCTGATTTTGAACTGTGTTGTATCTTGTTCTGGTGTCCTGAGTTCAAACAGAAGTTTTACCATTGGAAAGGTTCTATGATCTTACTGGTAGGAAATGTGCTATTTAAACTTCTTTTTTGAATCTTTGATTGTTTTGGTATATTCAACTTGTACATGTATTTTATTTGATTGTATTGGCATATTCAACTTGTACATGTATTTTATTTGATTGTATTGGCATATTCAACTTGTACATGTATTTTATTTGGGGAATTTACAATAATATCATGGTTTACTGGAGAATTCTTTTTCATTTCAATTTATTGAGAGCAATAGCTGATCAAATTAAGAGTCAGTGGGGATTATACCATTTGTAACAACAAGCTATATGCAGAGATTTATTGAAATTTGTAAAGACCAGTAAAAGTATGAATAAAATTTGGTTCAAATTACAAACTTTAAGATATCTAGAGGTAGTCACCTAAAAAGACATATCTACATATTATTTTGAAAAGTCTTTAACCAAATATAAAAGGAAAGGCTTACAATATATTTTGACTGCAAATGTGATGCCATGTTCATATTATTACCATATTACTGTGGATTCATTATTATTCATGGGATACCAATTTCCGTGGATTTTGTAGGTATAGATAAACCACAAATTCAAATGTTCAATAAAGTACACATTTTCTATAGGCTTGTTTGCAGACTTTGGCAAAACCATGAAATTAAATATCCACGGAAATATAAGTTTTCCTCAATCCATGAAAATTGGAACCCACGAAAATTAATGAATCCACAGTATTACAAAGTAAGAAAGCCATTAGAAAATTCCAATGTATTTAATGATTTAAGTTCATGGGTTATTTTGTGTTCTTCCATACTGATTCCTGCTCTTTTGGAATTATATAAGTTAGGTCAGAATTTTTTTTCACAGTTGTGTTAAATGAACTGAATTTTAAGTTTGGCAAGAAATTCTTAAAGACATAAAAGTGGTTGAAGTTTTGAATGAAATTATATGTCTGCTCTAAACCTGTATATTTTACTACCAAACTGTCACTGTTACATACCTGTTAAATATCAACTTTTATCACTGCAGTAATATTCAGATTGAAGGTTATAGTTGATTGACAGGTGTAAAAATACTCTGGAAATGTCAGAATGCTCTTGTTTTAACATTTCTGTTTTTATGTTTTATTTGAAGCATACTTTGTGTGTTTTCCTGATCTATGGCAGCCTGTGTTTCCAATAAATTTTAGAAACCTTAACTTCATTGAATATTTAGTGTGTTGAGTTTGACATATAGAAATATTTAACTTAACACATTGTGACATCCTTTTATTCCCTGATTTTTGTCTCGCCTGCAAAAGTCACGGAAAGTGAGACATAGGGATTGTTTTTCCAGTGACTTTGAATTAATTTGCAATTTTCAATGTAAGGTTTTCTGCTTAAGTTAGTTTGATAGCAACTACTAACAATATTCAACAACATTTTCTATAAAGTTACATTACTGTCTGTACATATAGTTTGTTAAACCTTTTTGGGGCCCTACCCACTAGTTCATGGTCCAGCGACTTTGAATCAATTAGCAATGTTGCTGTCCATCAGATTGTCTTTTTTCTGAATTTAATGCAGACAGGCGAGACATATCTCTCTGTCAACAGTTTATTACTTTTCTTTTTGCAGTAGTCTGTATTTTAATGATTTCACATAAAACTGTCTAAAGGATTGCTTGGGATGGGCACATCTTGCAGTGATAGCACAGGTTTAATTTTAATTTTCATCCAAATAAATTTTTTAGACTTTCCAAATGCTGTAATCCAAAAGAAGCCACATTATCTATTTATAAGGTGCAGTAACAATTAATAAGACATTTCCTAATACTTTTTCTGTAAGTTTAGCCAAAATTTCTATACTATATATCATATTTATTAAAGAGGATCAAAAGGAAATCATAAATGTACTTTAAAATTTAGAAAATGATGAGAGAAATCTTCATAAAGTTAATTTGAATGTATGCTAAAACTAACTTGACTCCAGAAATGCTTTATAGTAAATACATTAATAATAGTTTGTTGGTGCAAAAATGTATTTAAATTTTTTCTGTCCATGATTATTTATTCAAGTGGTCATTTTAATACTGATGAATAATAAATGGCAGACAATTACATTAAGGCATGGTTTCTGGTTAAAGATTTTAGAAATTGAATAACTAAGTCACACCTTCATTGACAAAAAAATTGGACAAAATTTTCTTCATGATTAAAAGAAAGCAATCTGAGTACTATGTACAATATTTTTATAAAAATTACTGTGATACATGTAAATAGACTTTTTTTTTTTTGGCATATAACATTAGACGTTAACACAGACAGCAGTTGCAGGCATGACACAAGATTCTTTGGAACCTTTACATATTTCTTCATACAATTTACACTTTTTCCTAACAAGGTGATTATAATTCAAAATGATTCTAGTCTGAGTGTACTGTGTTTGACATTATAAACATACCACTGCATTGCATTCACAGAATTTAGAGTGGAAATAGATAACTCAATAAAATAAGAAAAAACGTGAAGATTTTCAATATGGGTAAGTAAACTTGCATTAGAGAATTAGGAACATATCATTTGGTCTAGGTCTGTAAACATTTATGTTATTTGATTTTTTTTCAGGTTAATGATATACATGATTAAACATATGCTTGCTATTTTCAGATTCTAGCAGTAGTTCCAGTTGGTCCCCCCTATATGGGGGTGGGGCACATCTAGATCAAGAGGCTATCCAGTACATCCATAAGTTTTATTGTAAAGACTGTAGGATGGAAGCAGAAAAAGCAAAAGCTGCTGCAGCTGATGGGACAACACCTAAGTTAAACGGAGAAGAAGAAAAACCAACAAGTCCACAGTCAACATTAGAAGAAATGTCATTACAACAAAGCATGGATAAAAATAAAGAATGTATGTATTAAACTTTTAAAAGACAAGACAAAAATAGCAGTTAGTGAACAAAAACAATATCTTGATGCTGTCTTAATGTTCATGCACTTAATGTCATATTTTATTTTAACTGAATTAAGTTAACAGGTGTAAATTGACCTTGAAAGTACGAACTTTTGACAGTGTAAACTTTTCCTGTACAACTTTTAATGTAATAAAAGCATAACAGAAAACTAGATGTAAGACATTGTCAGACAGCCAAAAAAAAAATATCATGTTCTGTAAATACTTTAGTCTCCAATTTACATGGTTCCTGCAAAAGTCTGTTTATGTTTTGGATCATAAAATTTGTTGTTTTAAGCATAGAATTACAAAAACAATCACCACATGATTACAAGTAACCTCAGTGTAGTGCATTTCTATACACTTGATAATACAAGTAAGGAAGTATTCAAGGTGCTCGAGGTTTCAGATGTTGCCAAAAAAGAAGAAACCAAATTGACACACAAATGTAGCCCCTCATAGAATACATTCATGCAGAATATGTCTTAATAGACTTAATAAGAAAAAGAAAAAAGATAATGAAGCAGGTCAATGAATCATGCAACAAGACCTTTTATGTACGAATTAATGAATTAGGAGAAATAGAAATTGTAACCAGATCTGGTTATGTAGTATATCCTTACGTATTTATGTAGAACTTATAATATAATAAAATGGCTGTTTTTCCAATTGTAGCATTGAAACGAAAGCTGATGATGAGAAGATCTGTAACTGAACTTGTAGACCAAGGCATATATCCACGTATGTATCATAAACTTAATTTTGTCTATAACCAACACTTTACTATAGTTATATTTTACTATAAGATTTGCTTGATTGAATTTTCCCAAACAGCCGTCGCAGCTTTCTCATGAACTACATCATAAGGATTTCTGAAATTTGGTTTCAGGGTTTATATAAGTCAGCTATACGGTGTGATGCGTTTTCAGATTCATCACTCAACAACTTCCTGTTTACCAAAATATTTGGGCGGAGGTATCTTCAGTGAGCAGTAGCTCGCAGTTTCACTTGTTATTCATATTTAATTATCAGTCTGTGCTAAAACCACAATACAGTGGTATGATTGCCAATTAGACAACTCCTCACCAGAGACCTAACAATGTAGAAATTAGCAACTATATGACCTTCAAAAATGAGCTATATCCGTACTGAACAGCAAGCTATAAAAGGCCCCTAAATTACAAATGTAAAACAATTTAAACGAGAAAGCTTGGTTTATGTACAAATCAATAAACGAAAAACAAATAGGTTATACAGCAACCAACAACAACAATCACCAAATTACAGGCTCCTGACTTGGGACAGGCATATAAAGAATGTGGCAGAGTTAAACATGTTAGCGGTCGCCCAACCCTCACTCTAGACCTGGGACAGTGGTGCAACAGAAAAACACAATAAACAAAAAACAAATATGATAAACAGCAACAAGGGAAAACCACTCAATCACAGGCTCCTGGCTTGGTACAGGCACATATAGAATGTGGTAGGGATAAAAATGTTTCCCAGCATGTAACAGCGAGTGACAATTAAAATCGGTTTTCAGCTAGTGGAATTTTTACAAAATTTGTTTGGACCAAAAAAAAAGTATAGTCGTGAAATGAGCTGTTGGATTTACCTATTTCAATAAATTGGGCTGTCAATTGATGTGCCCTCTTCCAAAGAGGTCCAATCAAAATCCAGGATTTGTGACACATTTTAATTGTATAAATAGTTCAGACTCTTGCGAGTAGGAGAGGTGAGTTATAGGGAGGGCCAGAATTATTTGTGTTAATCAAATACTAAAAGTTATGTGGTATAAAATATTCATTGATGGTGTATATACAGGCTCTTTACATCCATTTATGATGTAAAATATAATTTGTTTATAACTGCTACAACAGTAATTACATATTACAAGTCGTTTTCCTACAGAGTGAAAATAATAATCTTTAATCATCCTGAAGCTCAAAATATTGGCAGAATACAAACTTCAAAAATTAAAATTACAAGAAAATCTGTGAATATTTAGGACCAAATAATATATCCTTATGATGGAATTGCATCATTTAAAATCGGTTAATGATTCAATTGATGAAGTTAATAAAGCACCCAAGATGTTACTGAGGTTAAAACATTTGTAATAAAATCTGAAATACAAGATAGAGAATTCTTCCAATTTTTCCTCTTATAACTAAATACATCAGGATCCTTTTCCTGCTGTGTAATTGTGGAAAGGTGAATGAAATGAATGAATTTGACTTTTCCAATTAATGACAGGTGTTTATGATCATATGATGTACTTTTGTTTTTTAAGCTTTGAAAACCCCTCCAGCATTTGCAGAACAGAGAAAATCATTAGAAAGAGCTAAGGTAAGGAGAGTTGAACAGTTGTTCAAGACATTTATAGTCTCATTATATTTGCTATGGCAGAGTCAAACTTTCAGTGCTTGCTTGACTTATTTTGTATCAGAAGTATTCTTATATTTATGTTTATTTTTGTATTGACTTCTATATATGTGTCTTGATTGTTTCCACCAAAACAAAAACAAAACAAACATGTTTGACCAAGATAATGATATATTAAGTAAAAGTAGTATTATCATTTACAAATATGAGGCAGGTGTTTTAGATGACCAATACCTTGTTAGTAGCTATTTACAGTACATATTTGTCATCATATTCTCCCACTAATGGACTGGTTGGGTTACTATTATGAACTTGTCTTGTCATCATATTCTCCCACTAATGGACTGGTTGGGTTACTATTATGAACTTGTCTTGTCATCATATTCTCCCACTAATGGACTGGTTGGGTTACTATTATGAACTTGTCTTGTCATCATATTCTCCCACTAATGGACTGGTTGGGTTACTATTATGAACTTGTCTTGTCATCATATTCTCCCACTAATGGACTGGTTGGGTTACTATTATGAACTTGTCTTGTCATCATATTCTCCCACTAATGGACTGGTTGGGTTACTATTATGAACTTGTCTTGTCATCATATTCTCCCACTAATGGACTGGTTGGGTTACTATTATGAACTTGTCTTGTTATCATATTCTCCCACTAATGGACTGGTTGGGTTACTATTATGAACTTGTCTTGTCATCATATTCTCCCACTAATGGACTGGTTGGGTTACTATTATGAACTTGTCTGTAATTTTTGTGACATATAACTCAGCTTCAGTACATGTATCATGGAATGATTTGATATTTAGGCATTAACTTTTTGAGTTGTACTGTGTTAACAATTTTCCAGTCTGTTGAGTATTCAATTTCTGTTAGTTCATAATAATTTGAAATTTTATTAAACCTACTGAGCATGGAATTTTTGGTTACATATCACTCAGCTCCTGTATTAAAGAATGATTTGATCTTTGGTCATTTAGGTTACAATGATGAGTTGTATTGTGTTAGCAATTTTAAGATCTGCAGGGCAGTCACTTTGACGATACTAGAACTTTTATTATATCCACAGAGCAGGGAAGTCTTCACAAGTGGGGGTATACTTTACAAAACATCACATGAACTTTTTTGTTGGTAATCAGATATACATTTTTTGGAGATAGTCATATGATCCTTTATTGTGTTTTTAGGAAAATCCTGAAAAAAATGCATATAGGATATGCAAAATTGATTATTTAAGGAAAGACTGTAATATTTTTTCTGTCTATGAAGAAAATAACATCAAAAAATGTGGTGCACACTGAATAACCGGTTATTTAAAAGTGTGCACCACATTTTTGAGGTTATTTTGAATAGACAGAAAAAATATTACAGTCATTCCTTATAATTTTATTCTGAATTCCAATTTTAAGGAGTAAATCATGAAAAAACATTGATGACGTCACAGTCACATGACAAAATTACGTCTATGAGCTGATAAACAAAAATCTTTCAGCCAATCAGAAGATGTGTTACATCCAAAATTAGATTATTTTAGTAGTGTCAGAAATTTTTTTTAGAAAAATTTGTTTACTTATCTTGATCTCATATTTTTTAAATTTTTTTCTTTTGATATGAGGACTACATTCCTATTAATTACTCCATATTCAAATAAAAAAAATTTGAAAACTACGAAGTTATATGCAAAAACAACATCTAAGTTTTCAACTTTAAGTGTATTGTCTCATTATGCTAATATAAGTCATAAGGGTAACTGAGTTATACTCTACTTTTAAATCTGTTTCCGTCAATTAGAAAACAGGCAATGTCTTTTTAACAAGCTTACACTAATTACACAGTTCTATTGTACTCCAATGTACTCCAATCTACCTGATTACTGAATTGTACTTGGAAAAATAATTACATTGAGCAAAAACAACTTGTTGACTGATGAACAAACAAACAGATGTATCATTTAGAAAATCTGTACATGTGCAAGTCATTTTCTGTCGCCAGTATTTTTCTGCTGATAAAAGCATTTTTGTTAACTTGGAAGCATAGGTACATACCTTATAATTATAAAGATTGAGGAGAAAACTATAAAAAAAAGTTATCTGTTTGATGATGTCAGCATGCGTTTTACATCATAGAGGTGTTTACGTAGTAGCTGGTGTAGAAAATTATACACCTACACAATTATGTGGCAAGAGAGAGAGTGCACTAAGTTGGCAGCTCTTGTCCAGGAATTAACTCAACAGTTGTCATGTCATTAAAAATGATTAGCAATTGTCACGTTTCATGTAACTTAATGCTGATTGCAGTAACAGTGTTACAGGTTGTTTGAAAAAAGATAAATTGATTCTCTTTTTGTCTTTTCTTCTTTCATTCAAAAGAAAAAAAGGAATGATTATGGCTCTTTTGAAAGATCTGTTTTACGATTTAGTAAAATTGTATAAGAAGAAAGGCTGTTGGAATGAAATAATGATTAAGTTGATGATTGAAATCTGGCAGCATGTCAGCTCATCTTGTCATTCAAATAGTAGGGCTGTCTGAGACAGAAATACCTCAACTTTTATACCTGTCAGCAATTATAGATATCTTTGATTAGGTTATTTCTTATGCAGCTGTATTAATTGTTTGTTAATGATTACCTATTGTTAAAGAGTTTTCTAATTTCAATCAATGCTTTCTTGACCTTGTTCAAGGTTGCTTGAAGGTTATATTGCTTTTTTTTCATGTAGGTGTATTATTAGTATTATTTACAGTATTGTTAACTGGTTTTGTTAGTGAACCTGCTGTTTCTAGTTCATGTCTGCTTCTCTATTGCACTACCTTGAATATGGTATAGTGCTCTAAAGAAAATTTATTAAACAAAAAAAGTAACTTTCTGCAGTTAACAGTCCTGTGAAGAAAATTTTAGAAATAGTACAATTAATTTATTCTTGTTGGTATGAAAATACAACAATATCCTATTACAGGACGAGGTACTCATGTCAAAGAGAAAACATAAAATTTCATTGGGTGCAGTGCAAAGATACTACCAATTTGGCAAACATTTGATCATGACAGGGTCCAAAATAATAACTCACCTGACAACAAGTGTACTTTGAAAGAACAAAACATGGTAATTTATCCAAAATTAATCATCTTTACTGATCTGTTTACATTATCAATATGCAACATCAAAATCAAAATTTTATGAGGGAAATGTTTCTATTTAGAGTTGATGTACTTTAAGAAATGATTATCTAATTGATTCCAACTTTCATGCTTGTAACAAAATGACTAATATAAAATTCCATGCTAATAAATCTTTGTGAGAGGCAATTGATGAGAATGTTCTTTTCAGTTCTCCTTACACTTAAGCTGTGTTTCCTTCAGCAAATTAATGACTTATATGTCGCCAAAAATTTATAACAAGAATAACAGCTACTTGTACACCAAAACAGACTTGTTTATATGTCTATCACAAGTCGATTTATATCTGTGGGTTGCTGTCTGGTCAATGTGTACCCTATATCTTCTTTATTCATGTGGACTCCCTATAGGACAAACATACATGTCGTTAACCATACTCTACGGAACAATAGAGGTTTTTCACACTTAAGAGACTGTAATATTAGGTAATTATTACTTGATGTTGCTTCAGATTTAATGTTCCAATGTCAGTTAACTAATATATAAATAAATAGTGCCTACATACAAGTGCCACAGTTCACAAAATAAGTCATACCAAGGTCCATTAAACATGTAGTAACCTAAGATCAATTATAATTTAAAAATATCAGATTCTATATTATCCTTTCCAAAAGACTGCACTTTCTATAACTGTTAACAAAATGTTTACTTCCAATAACGCAAAAATCTGCTGTTTCATGGCCTGAGTAAGATTTTTGGTGTTTTATTGCCTGAGTAAGATTTTTGGTGTTTTATTGCACGTCTTCTCTGATTTGGACTTACAACTGTTTTGATTGGAGTTCCACTGTTGAGTCTTGTGCAAATGAAACACAAATCTGGGATACTAAAATAACATGTCTAATGTCTTTGATGACTCCTTTCTTTAGGCAATTTCTCACATAAGAAGAAATTTTTATGTATATTTTCAATTCATCATAATCCATATTTTATTTGAGGACCATCTGTAATGAAAATTATTTCATCTGATCTCTAACTGATCATCTCTGTACATGATCACAAAGAGAAAACTTTTTTATACACTATAGCAGACCTTCTGCATTAGGAAATAGCAAAAGAACCATTTGATATTGTTAAACTGATAGGTTCAACTATGTCAGACAAAAGTTCATCCTTGATTATCTTCCAACCACTGTAAAGGAAAAAAATAGCAATTAAAGCTCTGATCTTTTAATCCATTGGTTGCATGGATATCTGAATGGTATTTTTGTCTCATATAAATGACATACAGCCACCCCGTATCTTTTCTTTTCAAGTATATACTATGACTTGCAAATTGAAAAGTCATTGTCATAGCTTTAATTTCAGTGATATTTGTCTGGATATGACACATATCAAAATAGGTCTCCCTAAATAATATTGAGACTCAGACAATATATAGCCATCACAGTAGTCTATTTACCAGTGGTTGTCAGTTTTTTATTGGTGTTTTTCTTTAAGTCTTTTATTTAGGTGAAAGTCTTTATTTATCTTTTCAATGATTTGAATCAAATTGAAATTTCACAGTCTATACAATAAGTTGTTGAGATAATGATGGTATTTTCCAGTTCAAAGGCAGTTATAAGTACATAAGAATTAATGGTACATTAAGGTTCAAAATGGCAATGGTTAGAAGTGTTTTGAAGAGTTATTATCATCAAGATTTTCCCAATGGCATTCTTGTTTGCAACATTTTTAAAATTGGTTTCAGAAATGTTTTACACTGCAAGTTGTTGTCTGATATCTCAAGAACTGTCATATATTTTAGATACTGCATTGTTTTCTTTTACTGTTTTTTGTGCT